TTCCAGTGGAATCATATAACCATTGTTATATATCATTGCTTTTACAATTATTTATTCATTTATTCAATATATTTTTAACACTATTTTTTATAGTGGTTGCTGACATAATTTAAAATATGCATTTACCTCTATTTTTAGCTTTATCAATTTTGTACAGTGTTCAATCCACTTCTAGTATATTTCTATTGTTTGTTTGCTTTTTGAATTAGTTTTTCCATGCTTATGGGAAATGGGGAACCAATTTGGGGCATTGCCACTACCCTGAAGTTTTGAAAAGTGAGAGTCAGCTTAGTTGTTCTGTTTTGTAAGGGTAGGGAGAGTTTCTTACATGGAACACTTGCTACATGGAAAGTAAAGGCACAATGACAATTCTGGTCATATTTAAATGAGTTAATATTTGTAAAGCAGGACAAAACCTGGTCCACAGTGAGGGCTATAAAAGGGCTTGTTACGTAAAATGCATTAAAATCCAAAAGAAGGAAGTGCCACAATAGGGATATTGAAAATATTGGCTTGGGGTGCAGAGGAGCTGTGAAGGCCTAATTCTGTTTAGGGGGTCAGGGAAAGCTTCAGAGAAAGAAACTTTGGAATGGGTGAGAGAATTCCAGGCAGAGAGACCCATGTGCAAAATCACAGAGGCCTGACAATAAGAAGTAGGGATATGCTGGGAAAAAATAAAATGCCCCCCCCCACACCAAAAACCCTGGTTTGGACATTTTGTCTATTTTGGTAGTGTAAATACTCCCACACCCCCAATTTCAAGTTCCCAATGTGAGGCCCCTGATTCACATGCTGGAGCCCTAACCCTTTTTTTTAAAAAATTAATTTATTTATTTGACAGAGAGATCACAAGTAGGCAGAGAGGCAGAGAGAGGAAGAAGCAGGCTCCCTGCGGAGCAGAGAGCCCAAGATGCGGGACTCGCTCCTGGGACCCTGAGAGCATGACCTGAGCAGAAGGCAGAGGCTTAAACCACTGAGCCACCCAGGCGCCCTAGAGCCCTAACCATAATGTGCCGGGATTTAGAGATAGAGCCTTTATGAGGTACTTAAGGTAAATAAGATCTTAAGAGTGGGGAGGGTCATGAACTGCTGCCCTTATAAGAAAAGAAAGAGACAGGATCACCTGAGTGGTTCAGTTGGTTAATTGTTTGCCTTTGGCTCAGGTCATCATCTCGGAGTCCTGGGAGCGAGCCCCTCTTCCTCTATCTCCCACCCCCGCCACCTCATGCTCTCTTTCTCGTTCAAGTAAATAAATAAATCTTAAAAAAAAAAAAAAAAAAAAAAGAGACACCAGAACTCTCTCTCCACCAAATGAGGACAGTGAGCAGGTAGCCATCTGCAAGCCCAGAAAAGAGTCCTCACTGGGATTGCACTGGACTTCCCAGCCTCTAGAACAGTAAGAAAATAAATAACTTGTTTAACCCGCCCAGTGCATAGTATTTCTGTTATGGCAGCTTGAGAAAAAGGAGACAGTTGAAAAGAGGTACACATAACAGACTTGCTAGCCAGTCCAAGCTGATGGCATCACAAATAGAATAGTAAATAGTTCCTTCAATCTTGGGCATAGGCATCCAGAGTGCAGAAAATCAGATTGGGCAGGATAATAAAATGGCTTGGATAACATGTTAAATACCTTGGATTTTATCTTGCAGGGATGGGTCTGAGGCAGAGGAGAGACAGGATTAGAAGGGTCTGAAATCCCCACCCAAGTGCCTGTGTAGGGAGCAAGACTGGGCTAGGAGACCGGCTGCAACAGTTAAGAAAATTGAACAGAGGGGATGGGGAAGATGGGATAGATGTATAATCTATGGGGGAGGCAGAACCAGTGGAATTTGGGGACTGAATGGATGTAGGGGGAAAGGAGAAAGGTTTTGGTTGATATTCAGACACCTAAGATTGTAAATGAATACAATAAGTAAGTTACTAAAACCTCCACCACTTCTTATAGTCTATCTTAACCCATTCAGGCTGGTAACAAACTACTACAGAACTGGAGGCTTAAAAACAACAGAAATGTATTTCTCATAGTCCAGGAGGCTGGGATATCGGAGGTCAAGATGCTAACAGATTCGGTGTCTGGTGAGAGCTGACTTCCTGGTTCATGGACTGCCATCTTTTTGCTGTGTCTTCACATGGCAGAAGGGGGGAAGGATCTCTCTGGGGCCTCTTTTATAAGGGCACTAAATTCCATTCCTAAGGGCATGGGTGAAAAGAAGGATCCTGAGTATTCAGGTGGGCACAGGAATCGTCAAAATCTGAGCTGTTGCTGCTAATGTGACCTTATTACTACTCTCAGGCAACAGAGGTCAGGAGAAACTTGGCTTAAAGTACACAGAGCCTTTAATTAGCTAAATACGAATTCTTCTAAAAAGCTTTACTGAATTAATAGTGACTGTTTCATGATGCCTTCTCTAAATTAAAGGGATACTAAAAGGATAATTACAATCGTGTGGGGTAATGATGCATCTTTCCAGTTTGGTGCTCCAAACCTACTCTCCATCTCTCTCAACCCTGCCCTGTGCCCAACGAGGCTGATCTATATGGAATGACACCAACGGGCTGCATGACCCTCTGGCAGTAAGTAGGTTTTGACCAATGGGAGGCAGCCACAGATGAAATAATGAAAGGGTAGTGAGTTTAGGATATGTATTTCCCCAGTTCCCTCCCAATGAGTGACCATGAGTTGGTACATTTCAACTGGTCTTTTCCATTCGATTGTTCTCTTCTGAACCTATGTCTTCCCATGAAGACCCTTTCATGCCCAGGGATGGTGTATTCACTTGTTAGTGCTGCCATAACACAGTACTACAGACTGGATGGCTTAAAAAACAGAAATGCATTTTCTCACAGTCTGGAGACTCTAAGTCTGAGACCCAGGGTTGGCAGGGCTGGTCTCTTCTGAGGCCTTTCTTCTTGAATTGTAGATGGCTGTTGTTTCCGCGTGTCTTCACATGGTCTTTCCTCTGTGCATGTCCATGCCCTAATCTCCGATTCTTATAAGGATACCAGTTATACTGGATTAGAGCCTGCCCCGATAACCTCATTTTAACTTAATAAAAGATTTTTAGTGTCTTTAGAGATCCTATATCCAAATACAGTCCCATTTGAGGTACTGGGGTTAGGATTTCAACTGAATTTGGAGGGATGCAATCCAGCTCATAATATATGGAAACAGCTCCTAAAGTCTTGCTAGGCCCGGGGGTACTGTGCTATCTGATTTGTTTTCCTAATCCTGCCTACACCTTTATAAAAGTATTTAATTCTTGGGGCACCTGGGTGGCTCAGTGGGTTAAAGCCTCTGCCTTCGGCTTAGGTCATGATTCCAGGGTCCTGGAATCAAGCCCCGCATGGGGCTCTCTGCTCGGCAGGGAGACTGCTTCCCTTCCTCTCTCTCTGCCTGCCTCTCTGCCTACTTGTGATCTCTGTCAAATAAATAAATAAAATATTTAAAAAAAAAAAGAAAAAAAAGTTGTTAATTCTCCTCAACTACTTAAGAGTGTACCACCTGCCTCCTGTCCAAATTCTAATTGACACACAGGCACTCACCAAAATAGTGCACATTAAAAAGGGGACCTCATTTTCTTTCTTTCTTTTTTTTTTTTTAAGATTTTATTTATTTATTTGACAGAGAGAGAGAGATCACAAGTAGGCAGAGAGGCAGGTAGAGAGAGAAGGGAGGAAGCAGGCTCCCTGCTGAGCAGAGTCGGATGATTCCGATGCTGGGCTGGATCCCAGAACCCCGAGATCATGACCTGAGCCAAAGGCAGAGGCTTAACCCACTGAGCCACCCACGGGCCCCAGGACCTCATTTTCAAAATGGTTGGAAAGCACTGTATATCTGGGAGAAACAACTTTCATAATCAAGCATTAAAACTAATATCTTACCAATGCCTTTCTGTTCACAATTATTGTACTCAGGAGATCACCAGTATCCTTTATTCCTTAAAAAAAAAAAACCAAACATTTTTATGTGGGATGATTTAAGGCAAATGTAGATTGGTGCTGCTAACAAGAGAGATATGGTGGGTGGTATTACTATTACCAAGTAGCTTCTTAGCCCCCTTTTCCTACTGTCTGACTTCAGGCTTCAAAATGAGGAAGGCACTTCCCTACCCAGGACCAAAGATCCTTTCCCAAAAAACCAAACCAAACCAAACTAAACAAAACTTTCCCCACCCCCCAACACAAAGGTCCTTCCCTCAGTTACTGCTACTCGCAGAGGACTTTCCGGCGCTGGCCCTGCAAAATCCACCCTCTTAGAGAGTGGAAGCCCTGAGAAGCTGCCTTGTTGGTAAGGCTGACACCTATCGTGGGCTACTCCTTCCTCAGGAGTAGCTCAGTTTCCTCCCTCCGTTCTGAACCTAGGTGTGGATGGATATTTTGTTTCTTCAAAAGCTCCAAGCAAAAATTCTCATTTGGCCCAAAATCTTTCTTACCGCTTTGATGTGAGGACAGGTATTAAATGACTCACCAGTGCAATCAAGGCATTCATGTGGGTCCACTATACACACACATATGCTCTCCGCCCAGATGTGTGTGTGTGTGTGTGTGTGTGTGTGTGTGTGTGTGTGTGTGTGGAGCTGGAGGGGCAACAAGTTTAAACAAGGCCTCTCCCTCTTCTTTGCGTGCTAACAGCCGTGCCAGATGACCAAGACCGAGCAACAACGCCCGCCGCGAGAGGCTACTGAAATGGGACATTCCAGCCGGCTCCCCTCCCCAAGCTTATTTTCTTTGGGGTTCACGGCACGCAGTACCTCTCTCTCTTTCTTCTTGAGAACATGTCCTTTCATTCTTATGATCGTCTTACTGAAGAGGTACTTTTTGACCAGGACTGAAGCGCCGGACCCAAGTCACACATCGGATCGCCAGCCCATACAACCCTCACACACAAAACGCAGAGAGAAAGGCGGGGCTACACGCATCCGTCCAATCACGTGGCCGCGCACGCTCTTCCAGGGCCTTCCAGCACTTGCGCCGTGGTTAGGTCACGCTTGGAGGCGGTGCTTACAACGCACAAAAGACGCATGCGCCGCCGCGGCTGCCCTGGTCCTGCTTCCACGGCTGCGGGCGTCGGTGGCATCTGCGTTTCCGTACTGGTGGCCGCGGGGCCCTGGGGTGAGTGTTGGGGAGGCCGTGCTGAACCTTGAGCTCGGACTCCCAGGAGCCCATGGCCTCGCCTTGGGCATTTGGCTGTTTTGAGGGAGTCCATTCGCGGGGCTGGCCAGGAACCGGCCCTTGAGTCGGGCGCGCGCCTTCCTTGCCCGCGCACCTGCGGCCGGAAGTGACGAAGCAGCGCTCTCACCTGGGTCGGCGGTGGGTCCCAGCCTCGGGCCGGCTGCAGGCTAGCGGGCCGGCCCCGAAACTTGAGCTTCTGGGCTTTGTGTTGGCCCCGGAGCGCAGGATCAGCCAGGCCCTGTTCGATTTCGATGAAAAAACTGGAGTTGTTACTTGAAAGAAAGCATCGGGGTAAATACAAGTCAGGCGCTTTGGGCATTGATACTGTCAAGTGGGATTGTGTAAAGGATTGAGCAGTCCGTATACGAATGCTGTAACACAGATTTCGTACGTAGCATCCATCTTCAGCCTGTTCCAAGCTGCAGTCGTTTTTCCACCCGTGTGTCTCCCGTCATTTCCTTGTACTGTTTCTTCCAGTCCGTTATCCATACAGTAGCCCAGGTGGTCTGTTAGGAAATTCAAATAGGTCATGACATCATCACCCTGTTTAAAAGTCTTCAAAATCATTGGAATGAAATCCAAGTTCATGTTTTACCAGGTCCTTTGTGATCTTGGCTACCCCTCCATCTTCACTTCTTCACATCTTCACTTATGCCCCAACTCCCTCCCCAGCTAGGCATGTTTACAACCGAATGCAAACCAGAATCCAGTTCCTCCCACAGAAGTCCCAGTGCTCAAAGGGGAGGACAATGAAGATACTGTTTTTCCAGATGATTACTCCTTGCAGAGTGTTAGAAAATAATCTGTAAGATTTATACAATGAATGGAATCCTTATCAGCAACTTTAACTCAGTTATGCACATAGTATAAAGTAAAAAATTCTCATTGTGTTCCATCCTCCTTTCATTTTCCAAGTGCACCAGCTCTTACCAGCCTTAGAAATTACACGTTTCTTTGCAAAATGTTCATTTCAGTTTTGTCCTGTTTAATCCTTTTCATCCTTCAGACGCTGGCTCAGGTATCACATTATCAGAGAGGTCTCCCTCCTTATCCCTAACTCTGCACTGTCAATTAGGTTCCTCTGTTACTTTGTCCTAGAGAATCCTGTACTTTTATAGCGGTTACCATAATTACATTTGTGGGTATAATTTATGTATGAACATGTTTAAATGTATAAATGCATGTATGTGTATATAATTCTTAAAATGTATGTTTTTCCCAAGAGACTAAGCTCTATGGTGACAGAACCTAGTACACTGTCTGGTATAATGGACTATCAAGTATTTGTTAAATGGATGATTTATTTCACTTCTGAAACTGTTTAGTTTCTGATGAGAACTTTCTGATTTTCAGCTTTCATTCTCAGGAAACTTGGCCCTTTGGTCCATAGTCACTCTCCAAGTGGCTTCTTGATGTCTCCCTTTCTCCTTCCCTCCCTTCCTATCCCAGTACCTTCTGGCTTCTTCTTCTTCTTCTTTTTTAATCTATCCAGCTAGGACCCCAAGTTCAGTTACTTGAACTACTCTTCTCTTCAGCATCTGTACCCATGAGCTTTTGTCCTTCTGCTGCTTCTGCTCTGAAAACTCCCAACAGTGACATTTCCCTGGACTGTTAATTACCGAAGGAGGAAATTGTACAGTCTTGGGGATTGTTGGCAATCTGTGGTTTTGGGGGGCCCTCCACACCTGTCACCAGTGTTTGTTCCCCATCAACTTTTCCCATCTATAGGACATTTTTTGCAGATTCTTATTCTTCTCCAGCCCCTCTTTCTGTTTCCCATCTGCTTCCTTCCTGAGATTCTTATTTTTATGGCTGAATTTACCAGTGACTCAATTGTCCACATCAGACTTGTTATTTTAGACTCCTCTCTGAACATTACTTCCCTTCAGGATATATGGGGTGTCTTCAGTGTATCAGACTCTGGATCAGGGGTTCACATCTTAGCTTGTATAAGTTTCTTTAGCTCCAGACCCAAAGCGTTGTCCCTTCCTCTGTTTCCAGGCGGACTTGTTGGTGCCTCTTCTACAGACCTGCCCTGCTGTGTTATTATTGACATTTTTCTCCTTCCCTAGAGAATGAGCTACTCTGGAAGGGATAGTGCTAAGTTCCTGGTGTCTTTGTATCCTAGTGCTTGGCTGCCAGAATAGTCTTATTTAATGAGAAATCATTGGGGCTTATTGGGAGAACTTCTGGTATTTTTATATAAACAAAGTTTCAGTGGTGAAGGAAACCTTAGTTTATTCAGTTAAATAAAAAGCAAGGCTGTCTCTTGGTTATTGTGTTGCTTTTTAATGTATTTATTAGAGTTACACGGTCAGCATAGTGAATACATTTTACTGAAGGAGATCCTGAGTCTGTGGAGTGAAATGTGAAGTCTTCCTTTATTCTCCCCTATCCTGCTTCCTCCTCCCCAGTGGTTGCTGGTTTGGTGTGTCTCTCCAGATCACTTTGAATGCATTCTATACACACAGATGCAGATAGACATTTTATTTCTCCAACATAAATGTGTTCATACTCTGTGATTTCTTTTCAGTTTACAAGCCTTTGTATCAGTGTCACTGAAAATACTTAATGCTTATACGCTTATATTAAACTGTTGACATGCTACAGCGAACAGCCTTGCATGTATGTGAGTATTTCTTTGGAATACATATCTGGTCATGTGTATTTTAAATCTTGATAGATACTGTTAAATTGCCTTCCAAAAAAGCTTTAGTAATTCATATTGCTTCCAGCATTGTGTGAGGGTGGATCTTCCTTGTCTGCTGGACATAATCATAATCAGGCCTAACCTGTTTTTTACAACCTGATTGTCAAGAAATTGTGTTGCACGTTGGAATAGGGTTATTTTTGAGAATTTTCTCAGATGCCGGATTTTAGTGGTGATACTATGTCTCGTTCAGAGTTTCTGCATATTAAGTAGCCTAAGTTTCTAGTGGTCAGATTCGTAGAGAAGCTTGTTGCTTACTTCACTAAATTTGTGTATCACAGTTCATCATGCCACTGTATTGTGAAACTTTTGTGCCACAATGCAGTGAAGATGCTAACTTGGAAAGTAGCAGTCAAATGACGTCAGTTGATTTGGAAAAGACTCTTAGGGTGCCAGACAAGATTTTGGTTGCCAGTTTTCTTACGTGGCTCTCCAAATGTCTTTTATTGTTGATGCTGTGTTTTTTCCTTCTTGTCTTTTTTTTTTTGGTTAATACTTTTTATTATCAGAACTCAAGAAGATGTATAGCTTTTGCCATTTTAAGAAAAGTAATACTTGCAAACTCGAATTTATCTAATTGGAGGATTATTACTTGATCTTTTGAGAAGTCAATGTTCTTTAATTATAAAAATGTTAAGAAACTATATAAATATCAATTCTTTATAACCAAAAAGGTTTATTACATTTTTTTTTCCCTTTAGGTATTCTTGTAGAGGATGCAAAATGCGAGAATCCCCAACTCAAGTCCAACTCAGGAGCAAGACTGTTTGCAAAGTCAGTATGTCAGTGATAAACAAGAAATGACAATCAAGCAAGAGAATGATGGCAACGTGGAGGTGGAGGAAAGCCTCCCCTCTTGTTCCTCTGCTAACGGACCATCCAGTTCTGCCGAGGGGTGTTCATCAGAAGTTTCGAGGAGAGGGCCGGCCCTGCTGCACATCAACAGACATCACATACAGACGGTGGAGCCGAGTGCGCAGGCCCTTGAACTGCAGGGGTTGGGTGTGGATGTGTATGACCAGGACGTTCTGGAACAGGGAGTGCTTCGGCAAGTGGACAGTGCCATTCATGAGGCCAGCCGTGCGGCCCAGCTTTCTGATGCGGAGAAGGAGTACCGATCAGTCTTGGATGACCTCACGTGAGTGTGGACCATCTTCTCTGATTGCAGATTTTGTGTTTACATGTGATGGAGAAATGCAGGTAATAGCCATGGTATTCCAGAAATATGGGAGATTTATAGAACCTCTTATTTGGAGGATGGAGTCAGTTAGGGCAGTCCTCGACCATGTGTGCGTGAGCTTTAGTCCTTTCCCTCAGGAGCAACATTGAACGTGGTAGTCAGGGTCTCAGGCCAGCTCACAACAACCTGTTTATGCATAACATCCTAGAGAGAAATAGTGTTCTGAGTAGCCCAGAACTCACAACCATGTGCCCAGAATGGTTTTCAGAAGAAGTGTACCTAAAGGTGTGATGTGTGCAACTTGAGACACCAGGAGCACATCACGCCCTTACCCCTCACATTTTTCTCTTGCCCTTTAGTTTCTTTTCAGTTTCCTGTGTCTAAACCCAGTGTCCGTCTTTTGATAATTTTTCAGATTTGCATTTCGAGAAATAATGTGAAACAACTCCTTGCTTTTCCTTTCTTATGTCCTACTTTTGACTCAGTAGAAAAGATGAAGTCCCATGGAAACTTCATTTATGTGTTGGAGGAGAAGCAGCTCTGGACCTGGGCTGGAAGGGTGGGACAGGCGACGGTGGAGCTCCTTCACTGTTGTCAGTCTGCCCTGTCTTGGCCAGTGTTCTAGGCTGTGTCAGGCAAGCATGAAAGAGAAAAGGAGTGGGGAGAGGAATGGTGCAGTCTCAGATGGGGATGGCTGGGGAAGGGGAGAGGAGGGAAGAATGAGGAGCTATTGGCTACCCTTGGCTGGGGACACTGTGGTGCAGATGGCGGTTGGAACTTCAAGGACATGTTTTCTGTCAGCAGCTTCCTGGTGTGTTCTCTTGGCCTCCTGAGTGGCAGGTACTCCGGAGTACTTATGGTATTCTAGGTGTTGGGAGCTCAGTTCCTGATAAGGAACACAATTTTACATCTGACCTTAGATATGTGCCTCCTGCTTGCTTAGGTGACAGAGTGCTGAGGAATTACCTCATGGATGAACATGAGATCCGTGGTGACATGTGGTTAGACTGCCAGTAACTTGCATTGATAACATCTTTAGTCCTGATATCCACAAAGGATACAAATAGCAAAGTATACAAGTGTCAAGATTAAATTTGTGCTTTGAAAACTGGGAGTTACCATTCTACTGTGTCTGTTCTAGAAGCATCATGTTAGAGATTGGTTTTTCCCCCCTTCACACTATAAAATATTATGCTATAGCAAATAAGTCTTCCAGTATTGTGAAAAAAAATATTGTCACAGGTATCTGACTTTATAAAAAAATGTCAGCATTTTTAGTACTTTTCCAGACTTGGGGTGAACTTCCAAAATGGGCTTTAAAAACCCATGTATGGGTAGTTGATGATGAGGAAGCTTGTGCGTGTTTGGGGAAGGGATATATCGGAGTCTGTACCTTCCTCTCAATTTTGCTGTGAACCTAAAACTACTCTAAAAAACTAAAATCTTGAAGAACCAAACAATGTATATCATTTTATTTTAATTTAAAAGGACAACTAATTTACATTGTTTTAGCACAGTCTCTTGAATTGGGTAGACACTTAAAATGTAGAATGAATGAAACAGCTTACAAATGGGAATGTGCCTGATTTTAATCAGCCAGATCAAAGAAAACACTAGCAGTTATCTTAAAACTTCTAATAACTCTTCAAGTTGTGTATGTGGCAACAAGAACATGCATTCTGGTTTAGTTTCTTTTATCTGTCAGTTAATAAGAAGTAAAAGGACATCTTTGTAGCATTTCTGTCTTCACATTACACTACAAAAAAATGTTACCAGAGTGGAAAATAGACATTTTATTTTATTTTTCAGGTCATGTACAACATCCCTAAGGCAAATCAATAAAATTATTGAACAACTTAGCCCTCAAGCTGCCACCAACAGAGACATCAACAGGAAACTAGATTCAGTAAAACGACAGAAGTATAATAAGGTGATTCCAAATAACATTAAGTATTGCATTTCTGAAAAAGTCATCATTGCTGTTCATTTAATATTTGGGAAGTATTCTGAAAAGAAGATGTGAAGGAAATAGCTATAATAGAAAATTTTGAGTTCCTTTTTCATGTTTACTATTTCAGCTGTTTCTGTTTAATATCTTATGTTAAAGAACATCTTTTAAAATACACACATACATCACACATACTTGAGAGAAGTTTCTCTTGCTGGCTCTGCGTGCTGCTTTGTTGATGTTGATGATTATAGTCTTCCTTGCTGTGCCATTTTCTTTTACCTAGCTTAGGCACCTGTTTGGCATGCGGGCCTCACATCCATCTCCTTGTGTTGTGTGAATTTTCTTTTTGTTTGTTGGTTTTTTTTGCTTGGCTCCTGCTTGTCCTCATTATTGTGTTTCCTATGGCCACAGCCATCACCCCTCACACACTCATGGTCACTGCTCTTAGGTATTATGGTCACTACCTAGACACACTGATGGATCTGCACTTGGGGTTGTACAGCCTCAGGGTAAGGAATATCTGTTACTTATGACACTGTTTTTTTGAGGTTTGTAACATTTTTTTTGGAATTTATGCTTTATGAAAATAGATCAGAGTGCATAGGAATGACTGGTTTTGATCATTTGATTTCTGCCATCCAAAATGACGAGCAGATATCCTTGTGCTGGCAGTTGAGCCACTGCCGTGAGTAAAATCCTTGCATCTTTTATTTAAATTTCACTAGTGATGTCTGTAGACTCAGTGCTTCCTTTTGTTTTCCACTCACCAGTCCGTTATCTTTACCGTCCCATCTTCTATCACCTACCTCCAGAATAGCAGCCCAAAAGTCAGAGCTAGCAGTGGCCTCAGGCAGCTGAGGTCTCTTCAAAGCAGAGAGAGGACATCTGGCCTCTTGTGGGAGCATGTGAATGGATGTGCAGAGACCTCTGACCTTCGGCTTCTGGTGGGCTGAGGTTTCAAGGAGTGGTGAGGACCAGACTTTGGGCCATTTTCCGTATGAGTCTAAGTCAGCTGTAGAGTCCTATCTTTCTAAAATAGCCCTTTGATGGTTAGAGATAAACTATTCAGAGAGAAAGGCTCTGTTTGTTTCTTTTTAGAAAGGCTGCTTAAATGAGATTAAATGAGGGAAAACTGAAGGAAAAGGAATTGCAGTTTAGTATAACATGGCATTTATACTCAGCATTTCTCCTCATCGCACTCTCGTATTTGGTGTTTAAACATTCTTGACCTTGGGAAGAACAACCAGGTACCTTCGGCCTAGTTAATTGGAGAGGCCCTAGGAATCAAGCTGCATAGCTGAGCTCTGGTGATAGAGAGGGAGACAAGACAAAGTGGGGTCTTGGGTGGGTAGGGTAAAAGAGTATATTCAAATGTATATTCCTTTTAAAGTCTAGTAATTGGGTAGAATACTATAAAAGACTGTAAAGGACAGTTGTAAATATGGTAGATGATCAAAGGTGCTTTTTTAGGTGTTTGAACAGTTGTGTTTGTTTCTTCTGCCTACAGCCTATTGACCTCATAGCCTGTCCATTGCTAAGGTCAGAAACAGAAGTTTAGTCATTTACCCAGTGTGCAGTGGGGAAACCTAAGTAGAGCAGTTCTACCTCCTCGTGCAGTGTCAGTGCACGGGAACTTCAGTGCTCAGGCACATAGAAAGCTGGGTCGCCCAGCCAGGAGAGTGGGTGGGGACAGGGATGTCTGCCCGCCTGATGGGAATACTTTCAGGCCTACGTCCTACACGTCCTTTGGCAGTTGCTCAAATAAGGTTCTTTATAATAATAGTAATATATGGAATTCCTGTTTTATTTTGCCTTGATTAAAGTTTTTAAATTTATCTTTTGTATTTAACAATAAATCACTTCATTGCTGTTTTCTATATTCAATATTTACCACTCAAGGAACAACAACTAAAGAAGATCACAGCAAAACAAAAACGTCTCCAGGCCATCCTTGGAGGAGTGGAGGTACAAGTTGAAGTAGACCATGCCAGTCTGGAGGAGGAGGATATAGGTGAGGCTACTGGGAACAATGTCTCCTTGTTCTTGAATTGGTGCCTGATGCCTGTAGCGGTGAGGGTATCTCCTCAGTCCTGGCCCGGGTTTCAGGAAAAATCCCTTTCTTTGCCTTACTGTTAAAACAGATGAGGAAGATTTTATTCTCTACAACTGCAGAACCAAATCTCTTAAATTATAAGAGGGTATTTGGAGAATGAAAGTAAATGTTCAACTCCATCTACTAGAGACTGCTGGTGTACACTTGGTATTAGTTTAATAAATTAGGGAGCTTAGCATTCTTGTGTAGTTAATTTTGTAGAGACAACTGACTTCTTGATTGAATTATGTTTTTAAGCCCAGCATCATCAGTCAGCATTCATAGACTTGCTTTTACATATGTTTTTGGGATGTATTTGACAGGTTTTCCAAGCATCATCACTTCTTTTGTTTAAGAAAAGCTATCTTCCTTTAGGTTATACTATGGCTCCGATTTTGTTTTTATTACTGCCCAGAATGGGTGTCTTTTGGAGAACGTTTTGAGAAAATGCATAAGCTCCGAAATGAAATATCTTTGTGGTCTGTGCGTGTATATGTGTAGGTGTGTGTTTAGAAATTGTTGGAGCTGCTCAGTCATTTAATATTTGAAATATAGATTAAGGCTTCTTTGCTTAAGCTTTTCAAGCAGATATTTTCTACTAGTTCTTGAAGTTTATTCCGTAACATGGGAGAATTATTATGAAGAATTAATTGAGGCAATAGAAAAAATATTAGATGAACTTTTAACATTTCATTCTCTCAGAATTTATTGGGCCTGCGACCAAGGCTTTCTGCTCCTGAGAGGCCGTGTTTCTTGTTCCTGTCTGGCTGCCTAAAACCTGCTACTGCATTTTACCTCCTCTTGCTTCCTTGGTGAAACTTTGCCCAGGATTAGTGGTTGCGTCCCCTATTCCAGAAGCCCCTTTTCACCCTTGCTCCACTTGGCCTGTCTGTAGCAGCAGATACTTCTGCACCTTCCAGGATCGCAATCTCTCCTGGTTTTCCTTTTGGCCCTCTGACCATTACAGTGGGTGGTTTTGTTTGTTTTTCTTTTCTGAGGGAGAAAGTCTGGGGTGGGAAGTATAGGGTGAGGGTGGGGGCATCAACAAGCTGATTCTGAAATTGATGTAAAAATGTGTTGGGCCAAGAAAAGTTAATCTTGAAGAGGAACAAAATATCGAGACCTGTTATCAAGCTGCAGTGATTAAGACAGTGAGGTATGGGCACAAGGAAAGACAAATAGACCAGTGGGACAGAATATAGGGACCTGCAAACAGACCCACCCCCATGTGGTCACTTGGTTTATGACAGATACAGCAGTGCAGTACTGTGAAGAGGTATCATCTTTTCAGTAAGTGGTGCTGGGTTCATTCACACCAAGGTAAAATGAACCGTGGGCCATTACACCATGTACAGAAATAAATGAAAAATAAATTTTTTTTTAAAGATTTTTGTTTATTTATTTGACAGAGATCACAAGTAGGCAGAGAGGCAGGCAGAGAGAGAGAGAGAGAGGAGGAAGCAGGCTCCCCGCTGAGCAGAGAGCCCGATGTAGGGCTCGATCCCAGGACTCTGGGATCATGACCCGAGCCAAAGGCAGAGGCTTTAGCCCACTGAGCCACCCAGGCGCCCCTGAAAAATAAATTTTAAATATAAATGTGAGTGGTAAAACAAGGCTTTTAAAATACAGCTTAGGAAAGTATTTTCGTGATCTTGGGGCAAAGACTTAATGAGACATAAAAATGCTCATGGTCAAGGAAAAGGTTTGATGAGTGAGCTATCTCACAACTTCTGTTGAAAAGAGAACATTGAGAGAGTGAAAAGGCAAGCCGAAGAGTAGGAGAAGACTCTTGCAACACATGTATTAATTGAAGGACAGGAATCCAGAGTGTATTAAAGAACTCTTGGGAAAGGGCTAAAGACCTGAACATTTTCTTCAAAAGAGGCTATTCAGAAGGTCAACGAATCTATGAAGAGGTGCCCTAGTCCATTAGTTCGTAGGGAAATGCAAATGACAACCACAAAGTGGTACCGTTGCACACGCACTAGAATAGCTACGATGCCAGGAATGTAGACCCATCCAAACTCTCAAACATTGTTGGTGGAACTTAAAATTAATAGGACCATTTTGAAAAACTGTTTGGCAGTGTCTGCTAATGCTTAACATACCCGGAGAATTACGTGTACACGAATTACTGATGGGTGTGTGTTGGAATATTCATAGCAACGCAGCTCATAGTAACTAAAACCTGGAAACTACCCAAATGTCCATTAACAGTGGAATGGAAAAATTACAGTGTAGCTATGTGATAGAATACTAACAGCAGTGAAAACCAGCAACTGCAGCTGTATTCAAGAATGGGGATGAATCTCAAGTGTAATGTTGAGCCAAATAAGGTGACACAAGTGTACAAACATTTCCATTTACATAAAGCTCAAAGCCAGGGACAGCTTGTATGTAGTGTTAATAGTGTGGTGGGTCGTTATTCTGGGGGTGGGGTAGAGACTGGGACGTGCCATCACAGGTGCATCTGGTGGTGCTACAGGTTCTGTTTCTCGATCTGGAGATGGGTGTGCAGTGTGTTTTTTTGTGAAAAGTCACTGAGCTGTACACTTGGCATTTGTGCACTTCCTGACATGTATTTTTCTTCACTGCAAGTTTAGTGAAGAACCGGCTGCGGTGTTACTGCACCGCAAGAAGCGTAGATTGTGGAATGTGATTCCTCATGCTCAGCCCTACTTATGTCGGCGTTTTGGCTCTGGGTAAAGTAGTGCTGCTGGAGATGAAGTTCAGAGATTTCCTGGTGACTTTATGTTATTAAGACCGAACTTCCCATTTGCACCCTCCGTTCTGTCAGGCGCACATCTAACAGTGCTGTCCCGTAGACCTGCTGGCAGTGATGGGAGTGCTGTCTGTGCTGTCCATTGTGGTCGTCCTTAGCCCCACCCGGCTCATCCAGCACTTGAAATACGGCAAGTGTGTCTGAGGATCTGAGTTTTCAACTTAAATTTAAATAGCCACATTGTGCAGAGCAAACATTTAACTTTTACCTATTCAGGTGCGTGTTGATTCTTTATACATTTGCAGTTTTGCTGTTTCTTGCATTTTAAGTCTGTGCGGGTCCTGGTACTCGAAGTGGCATGGAAACTTGGGAGAGTGCTTCCTCGGGGGCTGTTCTTCGATAAGGAAACAGACACATTTGTCTGAACGTTACATATGGGTAGGTCTGTCTCTGGCTGCATAGAGAGTGTATTTATAATGCATTATTTTAGAAAAAGTTATTGAGAGGGGCAGCTGGGTTGTTCAGTGGGTTAAGCCTCTGCCTTTGGCTCAGGTCATGATCTCAGGGTCCTGGGATCGAGCCCTGCATCGGGCTCTCTGCTCAGTGGGGAGCCTGCTTCCTCCTATCTTTCTGCCTGCCTCTCTGCCTACTTGCGATCTCTTTCTTAAATAAACAAATAAAATCTTAAAAAAAAAAGAAAAAAGAAAAAGTTATTGAGGATTCAGCTTTTTGACTCAGAGTATATTGAATTTGGCGTGATGAATGCTATAATAAATTTTGTTCTCTTCTTTATACACAATATGCTTTTGTACATCCATGGTATGTTTTAATTTTTAAGAAATTTTTATTTTTTTTAGAGAGAGAGCACACATGCGAGTGGGGTGTGGAGTAAAGTGGGAGGGAGAAGGAGGGGGGAAAGAATCTTACGCAGACTGCACTGAGTGCAGAGCCCGCGGAGGGGCTCGATCTCACAGCCCTGAGACCATGACCTGAGCTGAAACCAAGAGTTGCAGGCCCACAAGACTGAGCCACCCGGGTGCCCCCATCCATGGTATGTTTTTAAAATGCGAGTTAATCATAGTTGCTGTTTGCTGGAGAAGTGACCATTTGTGTTGTGCTCTTGGAAAGGTTTCTGCTAGTGCCCAATGCACTGTCCTCCCTCTTTCAGAACCAGGGCCGTCCTGTCTCGGGAGCATGCTCATGCCTGTGCAGGAGACAGCTTGGGAAGAGCTCATCCGCACGGGCCAGATGACACCTTTTGGAACCCAGATCCCTCAGAAACAGGAGAAAAAGCCTAGAAAACTAATGCTCAACGAAGCATCAGGTTTTGAAAAGTATTTGGCAGATCAAGCAAAATTGTCGTTTGAAAGGAAGAAGCAAGCTTGTAATAAAAGAGCACCTAGAAAAACCCCAGCCTCGGTCACTTCGGAACTGAGCACAGCACTCCATGAAAACAAACCAAATGAGCAAAGCAGAGTTCTCTCGAAAACAGATAAGCGCTTGAAAAAGCACATGAAGAAGCTCCAGAAAAGGGCTCTTCATTTCCAGGGGAAGGTGGGCTTGCCGAAAGGAAAGAAACCTTTGGAGTCTGACGTGAGGCCGAAGGTGGAGGGCAGCTCTGAGGGTGAAGAGTCCGAGTACGTGCCCACGGAGGAGGAGCTGGAGGAGGCCGAGGGGGCCGAGCTGATGGCACAGGGCCCAGACTATGAACTGAAGCCCGTGCTCAGGCACCGGAAAAGGCAGAAAAAAGTCACGGTGCAGGAGATGGAGGATGACGTCCTTCCAAGTTCTGGGGAAGAAGCAGAAGCTGCCTGTGGAGGAAGAAGTCGGAAAGTAGTGAGATGCCGAGATGATGGAGATGAAGATTATTATAAGCAGCGGTTAAGGTCAGTCTGCAGGTTGTAAACAGATTGTGCTCTTTGCTTTCTCTTAGGGTGCAGGTTTATTGAATAAGAATTCTAGATTTGGCTTAATGTATTAGATCCCCATTTATCCAAAGGTTGGACTCCCTGCAGCCTTAGCCTCCTCAAACCAGCAGAGCCCTTGAATCCCCCATGGAGCTAATCCCCAATGCCTCTAACTTTTGTATCTTCGTTCAGATTTGGGGCATGTCTCAGAAGAAGAGCTTAGGGGAAGGGCCCAGGCAAGAGGCATGCAGAGGACTGAAGCATGAGCCGTGTGCCTTTACACTCAAAGAGGACCCCGAAGGGAGGGTCAGGAAAAGGAAAACACTGGCCTGTGTCGTGTATGTTGTGTGGTTGGTTTTTTTCTTTTGATGCAGGAAAGTAATTGTCTAGGACTTTCTTCCAAAAAGGAGCTGAAATTTAAGCTTTAGTGTATGAAAGAATAAACTTGTTTTCTTAAATCCCTCCTTCCTTGTCTTGAGAAAGTAGTCCCCTGCGTAACTACAGACTCCCATCATACTGCCAGAAAGGCATTTCACGTGCGATCGCCCACCCTTCCTTTTCACTTTTCATTTTTGATGCTGGACACTGACTTTGGCTTTTCTTTCTGTGACTCAGTAGATGATGCAAATAAGATGAAAGGGAAGGTGGATCCTGTTCCTTCGGGAAGTCAGTTGCCACATATTTTTTGTGAACCCTGAAATATGGTCTGGACGCTGTAGGTACCTGGTGTGCCCACCAGGCACGACCCTGCCCCTCCCCGGCCTCCCACGTGAGCTTACTCAGCACTAAGAAGGTCCAAGGGAAAGGGAATCTGTTTAGTGGATTCATTTTTAAGTATTTGCTCCCGGGCTGGCCTTTTTCCAGTTCTCAATAGTTTTTTCTTGTTTTCTATGTAGGGAGACCTCATTTATCATGTTTCTTGTAGCTTTCCACTGACCTTCGTGAATGCAGACTGTCCTCATAATTTTTTTCCTTCTGTTTAGAACTGATGACCCACACCCAGACTATCACATACCTTACCTAGTCTTTTTATTTTTTTTTAAATTTTTTATTCATTACCTAGTCTTTTAAAAGCAGATGTGGCATAGTTCTTTTCACAAAGAGGTTGAGGACCTGTGACCTGAATCCGGTTCTTGAGAGCTGTTACACTCACACTGTAGTAGACCACTTGTAGCATAGTTGAGGAGTGACTTAAATTTGTTACTTCTCATTGCAACTTTAACTTTATTTTGCACATTTAATATCTGTAGAGCTGTTTGAGGGATATGGCTGGATACTCTTGAACCTTGAGCACTGTCAGTCTCTTAACTGTAGAATTAATAAAAGTGTTAATCTCAACGTATTGATTGTAAATGGAACAATATTTTCTTCTCGTTCAATATTTATTTTAAACGTATTAGTATCTTGAGCAGAAGTGGTTTATTTTGATTGAATTTTAAATAAGGGTTTAGTTTAAATTCATGGCAACACGTTTTTCTTAATAATCTCAAGACTGTAGAACAGTTACTTCCAAAGCCATATCAAAGCCAGTTTTTTGCTGAAGTTACAGTAAAATCTCAAATGAATTTCAGAAATATCAATAACTCTAATTGCCACCAAAATACTATAGCTTTTAAAATTTTATGGCTACAGTTATTAAGGCTGTTAAACTGCAGATAACACATTGAAATGTTTGTATGACATCTCCTTTGGTCCTCTATGGTTTGGGGGATGGTAAAAGAAAAGGCTCGGTCTAAGAAGCATTAAGAACGTTTTAGAACTGCCAGTTGCTTTTTTATTTTGTTCCTTGTTGTTGCTGATCTTTGTGTACATATTGAAATTGTAATGCACAACAGCAAAACAAAAACAAAAAAGACTTCAGGCTCCCTTATTTTAGCAGTGGTTTGATGATAGATGATCAGAATAAACCCCCATAGAGTTTGCAACATAGAAAATGAGTTTTCCTTTATGGTTAGAACTTAGGAATATGTACCTAGGCCAGGTGCTTTCTTGTATTGGTTATAGCCCTGTTAATTATAATTAATATAATTAGAGCATCGTGGTGCTTAGAAGTGAAAGTGAGTCATTCCTAGAGATCTTTTTTTTTTTTTTAAGATTTTTTTATTTGTTTATTCGACAGAGATCACAAGTAGGCAGAGAGGCAGGCAGAGAGGGGGGAAGCAGGCTCCCCGCTGAGCAGAGAGCCGGATGCGGGGGATGCGGGGCTCCATCCCAGCACCCTGGGATCATGACCCGAGCTGAAAACAGAGGCTTTAACCCACTGAGCCACCCAGGTGCCCCCATTCCTAGAGATCTTAACCCCTTAATTCTCTCAGCTCGAGCGTCAGAGTTCTTTCCTTAGCTCTAGCTTACTCCCAACTATGTATCATTGTTTTTAGCTGTTGCCAATTGGGAATTTCCTATCAAGCCTTCTCTAGAGCTTAACCTTTTCTGGAATAGGATAATAGCACTTAGGATCCTACTTTCTCTGACTTAGCCCAAGACCTCAGAACAGTCTTGGAACTGTTACCCATTGTTTTAAACTGCCCATATATTTTTCCCTTTCCATATTTGTATCCTGCTTCTCTTTACTGAGTTGCATTTGGGGGCTGTCTGTGTCCTTAGTGGTGTTCCCTGATTTTCATACCTCTGATAATGTACCAGGATGGATGAGCTAGTTCTTAGAAGTACATATTCTGTTGGTTCTTACTCATGTCCTTAGTATGCAGAGCCTAGAAAACATCCATGATTTTCTAATTTTCATTTTGTAGCAGCAGAGTATTAGGATATTGCTTTTAGTTGTGAGGTTCAGCTTTTCTTAAAATACATTGCTGCTTTACAAAACTAGGGTCTGGGAGCTCCAGGAGCCAAATAATAGGAATGACACACATTCAGTGTTTGAGCGTTAGGTGTCCCTGGTGAACACTTACATGTCACTTAACCTCATCCAGTCTGTACAGCCAGAACAGGTCAGGGTGGCCTAGAAGACCAGACACAGGTGCACCTTTCTCCTCCAGATGATCAAAGATCAGCAGTCCTTGTTACCTCAGTGTTCCTGATTGATTTCCAGATGAGATAGAAGGCAACTCCCATTGTTTCCTCCTTGTTCTCGCTACATGAATGCATATGTGCGCTCTAGGACCAGGACTAGGGTTTCCAGCAAGGAATTTGTGATTTTTTTTTTTTTTTAATTTTTGATCTTTTATTAGGGGACACAGGCACCAGTAGGCCCAGGGTGAAGGGAATAATGAATTCAGACAGGGAAGATTTTGGGGAGGAGATTCATTCTAGCACAGGGCCTTGTCTATTGAGTAGTTCAGATATTTTGAAATAGACCTTAGGGTGCAGGTTAGTGAGAGGGAAAATCCTTGTTTGCTTTGGAGGCACATTATTTCTCATTTGGGTTGGTGGGGTGGTCGCTGTGGTGTGCACAGAAGCCTGGCTTCTAAGCCATCCGCCGCAGGCCAGGCCAGGCCCAGGCCCTCGCCTTGCCGAACAATTCCCATCTTGGGTAGTGGCAGTCTGTTTGGGGGGGAAACAGACCCTGTTTGGGCTCTTCTTGGGCGCAGTCCATTAGTGGTCTCTGCCGTGGGCATGGGGGCCTGGGGGAAGCAGCAGCCTTCATGCCAGCTGTTTGCCAACCTTGAGATACAGCACAAACAAAGAATGCCACCAACTCTGGCCTCCTTCTCTGGCAGCGGTCGGCACTGCTTGGGTCAGGCTTGGGCTGTAGGTCAGGTTCCATCCCGAGGATGGACGAGGGGAATGAGAGGAGGCATTTCCAAATACGCGTTGTCTCCTGCTGGCACAAGTAGGGCTAGTGTTTAGTGTTTGACTTGAACCCATACCCTGAAGCTCTTCTTTCTGTTTCTGTTTGCCAGACATTATTATTTAAGTTGCTGACCTGATGGGCTGTATTTCCTTGGCAGTGAGCGTAGACTAAAGCAGAGGTTCCCCCGCCGTGGCCTGAATCTGCAGAATCACCTGGGAGCCCTTCCGTTGGAGGTGCTGATTCGAGAAGGCTAGCGTGAGGCTACCAAGCAGTAATATTTAAAAGCTTTTCTAGGTGGTTTGATGCACTGTCAAGTTTGGGAAGTACGTGTTGTGTATAAATAGATTTTATATACTGTTTTCCTTTTTGAGGTTGTGGCTTTTGGCAGATTCGGTTTGTATTTGTTTCTCTAAAATCCTTTATATATACCCTGCTCAAGTTTGTTTATATAGGGGAGGGCTTGTAGGGAAACTTTGAGGTTAGTTCATTTAGCTACTTGCTGTACGTAATAGATCATTTCCTTCCTATCAGAGCATATGCTTCAGAATCACCTGGAAAGCATCTTCCGGACTCAGCCTAGAGCGTCTGAGGCTGCAGGTCAGGAGTGGGAGGAGCTGGGCACTGCGTGGGTGCATTGACTGAGCTCCCGCTGATTCTGAGGTGAGGTTGGTGGCATTCCTCATCATTACAGGCCCTTACTGTGTTCCCACTGAGGAAGCCCTTGAGGCTGTTGGAAAGAACTGTGGGTAAGGATGTTGGGGTTTGAAAATGAAATGCTTTTTTTCCCTACTCTAGCCCAGAGTCAGTTTGGTATTGCTGCTGGAATAAATCTGCCCCCTCCCGCATTCCACTGCCACCTCAGCGAGTGGCAGTAGATTTCCCAGACTCTTGAGTAGGTGGTGCCTAAGTCTTCTCAGATTATCAGGTCCTCGGGACCAAGCTGCTGAGGTCACAGCCTGAAACCGATTTGAGTTGCTCCCTGTGAGTGGTTTGAAGGCTTTCCACACTCCCCACCTTGCACTTCTGATGATTCCTTGTTTTTTTTAAATAGTGAACTTATGATAACATTAAGATGAAATAACTACTTACATCTCTATTTTTTGTGTTGTCTACATTCCATTCCAGGCTTTGATCCTGTGCATACATATCTTTCAGTTATTAAAGTTATAGTAAGAGGTTCAAACATTTGATCATGTCCTGTTCAAGTTGATCAACTTGCCTGTGATCT